ATAAGCCAGAAAATGAAAGGATGGAAACCTCAGGTGGAATGACGAGACGTGGAATGGTCTCTCTCCCTTTGACAACTATTCTTGTGAAGTTAAAGCAAGGACGCCACTAACAGTTTACCCCAGATACCACAGTCCCCTCTGGCTACAGCATCTGTCTAATGAGCGAGCACAGTGACTCCTGTGAAGCCAGACATAACGCAGCTTTGATATCGTGAGGTTTCCAAGTCTTCAAGAAGCTGCTATGTAACAAGGTTGAAAAAGACATCACAGAGGCTATGTCTTAAAATCTAACTCCTCCAATCTGTACACAGATGCTTTACTTTTATTGCACTTACACAAATCTGGGGATTTGCACAGAGAACATCTTCACTGCATGCTTTAAGATTGGACTTTTTGTCTAGTGGCCAAGATACACACGAAGCAGTGGGCATAAAATGAATTGGACACAGTTAAAATTTAATGTGGGAGGAATTTTACTCACTTGCAGTTTGAGGCTCCAACCTGATCCAGATGCTCGTGTACCCAGTTCTGATCAACCTGCGGTGGGCCTACATATGCTTACCTGGTTTTTCATATTTATTATATATGTATCTGTTTTCACACTGAGAGAAGTTGAGGGACTTGATGTGGACTGTTACCACCTTGAATATTACAGATGAGGTAGAAAGACATTTTATATTTTTGTACACTGTTTATTTCTTTCAGTACATCAGTTCTGGCTGAAACCTGTGGTGCTTCCACCTGCTGAAACAGAATAAACTGTAAGTACCAGTCTTGGCTGCTTAACACAGTTGATATTGCATGTGTCAAAAGTATTGTAATTAGTATTAATTGTATTGTACAGTATCTGTAAAAGGTATTTACAGACTGACTTGTTCTGTTATATACATTACCTTAGGTGTATAGCTGAAACTCTTATTTGTGAAACATTTCAGAAAAAAACCAATTCATTTTTATGAAATATTAGTATTATTTTCATCATTAGTTGTAAAGGTCCAGTGTGTAAGATTTAGGTGAAAGGGATCTTTTGGCAGAAATTGGATATAAACAAATCATAGTTATGTTTTCACTGGTGTGTTTCATCTAAATTGTTGTTTTCTTCCCCTTTATATTTAAATACTTCATATTTACATAGGGAGAGGGTCCTCCCTGTGGAACACCTGAAACTGTTCAGGTGTTCCACAGCTTTTCAATTTCAAATGTAATTGATTCACCTGCATTAGCATGTTAGCATGTTATTTGGATGTTATAGGTTTTGTCACTTCGGTAACTGCAAAACATAGCATTGGTTTGTTTAAGATCTCAACAATGTTATTACGATGGCATCCCCAATAAAAACCTTTTGTCTTTCGCGACGACTACTGACAATCTAACAGCTTCTTGAAGGGCTGTCCCAATCCGTAGGGGAAGATTTCAACCACTAACCCCTTGTGAGTCCATTTCAAGGGGGAGGATAACCCAAGAAAACAAGCGAGAAGAGGTGAAATGGAATTGGGCCTTACACTTGAGTACCCTCAGTCTGTTTCTCGCTGCAACAGCAACAACAACCCACTCATTAGACTTGTTCCCCTTTAATAAATCATATTGTCAGGATTGGCCCATTCCTTTAGATATGCTGCCATAGTGCAAGATATATAATACCAGTTGCAATCATTATTATAAAATTGATGAATTATGGTTAATGTGAATAATACAATTTTATAACCTGATGACTTGAGGTTCAATACTGTTTTCAAATGTTTCAGAAATAGTTGATAAATCTTTATATTTTATTAAATGTATTCCTGTGATTATTTATCTTATTCTAATCTCAAGGCCTCCATACAGCTCCAGTCTGTGCTATTCTCATTAGAATGTCCATGGCTCTAAATTATTTCCAAACCTGTGATCAAAAATTACACTATTTTATTTACATCAACACAAACACTGTTGCAATAAAGATCTAGATCTTTTTCATCTTTCCAAGTTAAAGGCATTAGATGCCATGGTTGATAAAGCCCACGCTCTTGTGCTAGTGCAGTAAATTGTGGATGAGTGAGGCTTTTCACTGAGATCCATCACATAGATGGAGAGAGCAAGGTCACCTTAAAACTGATCGAAACCTCTTTTTTTTAATGGATAGAACAGTTTTCATGCCAAGATCATGAAAATGCTGCACACAGAAATACCATGCTACTATCCCAGAAAGCCCCATGGGCACTGGGGTAAAATGTTAAATCACTGGACCAGATGGAGACAAGTGAACCACTCTGACTGTCAAAGACAAAATTGACTGCCAAGCTTGCATAAATAAAACATTGTAATACTTTCATCAGATGTACATATAGTTGCTTGTAACTCATTGAATATGAGTCATATGTCAAACAACCGACCCTTTGTGACCTTAAGAGATAACTGGACACATGAATGAGCACTTTGGTTCCTGGATGAACCTTTAATCTGGTCTCCTGGTGATCCAGGGCTAAGTGATGGAACATGGAGAACACATCACACTCATATCATACATAAAACATTGACATGGCCATGTAACCCTGGGTGAAATGTCCCAGTGAAAGCAACAGCAGCGAAAGTAGCAGCAGCAGATGAATGAGGGTACAGGTAGACGACGTAAAATATCCCCGCAAGATTTAAATCGGACAGGGAGAGATATGAGAGGGATATTCATCACAAATGGGCTTGTCATTGGAGGAGGAGGTTTAGAGCTGGATGGCCTTCGAGTTCTTATCAATCCCCCCACTCTCACATGCACAAAGAATTACAGGGGGGAGGAGCCCCTGTAGGAACTTCAAGGATATTCAGATGACAAGGTCAGCAAGACATGACAAGTGTCACTAATCTTTGCACAGTGGGATAAGAGGCTAAACAGCACAAGCAGCTTTAATGCAGGAAGAAGAAAGTCACACTTGAACATAATTGGAGGTCATTGTCCACACTTTCTTAAATTACGTTTTATTCATGTTGCATTGTATGTTATGTGTATTATGTTGTATTATGTTGGCTCGTGACCTCTTTTAAGTGTTTAGAGTGTGTGTGTGGTTAAATTATGAAATGATGCACACAAAACTCCAGAAAAAGTCACATGAGATTTATTGCAGAAATTAGTTTTGGCTTTTTCCCCACATTACTCAATTTGTTGACCCCTAACATTTATCCTGTGACCTTTTGAAGGCCCCAGACCCTCATGTTGGGAACCACTTTCTTATATTATCATTGCGCAGTTTTTTCCCTTTACCAATGTCTGCATTATTTTCATCATTTGCATTTAATGTAATTTAAAATGGAGAGAGGAGACACTGATTATGTTAACATGGACACCACATGAAGACTATTAACTTATTCAGAAAAATAAACACATTAATATTGATCATGGTGTTTACATGAGTTCTTAATAGAATATTCCATTCATATTCCTGTTTACATGTTACAGAGCTAGATGCTGCATTATACAATTTTGGGGTGTTTTATTTTAAATATAGCAAAGGATGCAACTCCTTTTTATTTTTCCATCTTGTTTACACCGAGGGCATGTGTCATCTAGCTCATGGTAATGGGCGTTATTTGATTAAGACATATACATGTCTACATAATGCAACTAGGGTCAGACTACTCAATTTGATTATTCTTTATTCTGAGTATGAGCTTCGGGTTAAGTTAATTAAACAATTCTGTTTACATGACAGGGTCTTATTTAGACTATTGTGTGTATCAGGTTAATATCAGAATAGTGGTGTCCATGCTAACATATGGCATGTCGCATGAGTGCAAGGCTGAATTCAAACCAAAGACGTCACATTCACACACTATGAGTTTCATGAGTCTTTTCATTTCATCAGGTTTTCTCTTTTCCTTTCGTAGGTATTGTCACTGCCCTCTCCAATCAGCCAATCACATGCTTCCTGCACCTTACGCAAGCAAGTTCAATTGCGGCTTCCGTAAATGACCCTTAGATTTTTGAGCAATACCTGCCACATTCTGGGTTTTAACAGATCTTTGAAAATCTCATTTAACTTGTACATTTTATCGATATAAAATACATTTGCTCCATTGAATGGCTCTGCCTCTTTAACATGCACAGTGTGGAGAGTATGAAGCTCCATTCTTTTTTTTTTCCTCTTCCACACTGGGGTTAGGGTCAGCTACAGAGCAGCCTACCCTGAGGTGGAAGCTAATACATCCACGTGTGGAAGAGATTCATTGTGCTGCTTAGACATGGTTCAGCTGAATGGCTGTTGGCCAACAGAAGGCCTTTAACTGCCCTCTCCCGCTTGAATGGATCATGTCTCTGTTTCTAGCTGTCTCCTGCCCTACCATACAGTGTGGGGGGGCAACAGTTATGGCACACATGTTTGCTGAGATCGGATCAGCTGCTGCCTGACTGACTGCCCTTCACTGCCCTTCAGGCGTTTTGGATGCAAGGGTTGCGGTATGCCCACGCAGAGGGAAGAGGTGAGGCCCCAGGAAGGTTGTCGACCTGCATCCATCAGACACCAACACCTTGGCACAAGGTCCTCCATCCTAACTTGCGGGCAGGCCCTTAGTCTCCTGTCCTGTATTTTTTTAGAGTCGCCTGTTCCCTCGAGAAGCTGAATAGAAAGTGTGACACTTTCAAGTGCTGCTGTCAAACATTAAACCTGCACTGACAGGATTATGTCACTTGACTTTATTTAACAAGTAATATATGATGACTTTATCCCAATATGGTACGTTCGATGTGAAAAATGAGCTTTGAAACAAAATAATCCTGCTTGAGGTAACTGTCTCATGAGAAGGAGACGATAAAAGACACACAAAAAAATGGCATCGTAACACACAGCAGACACCATCATGATAGATATTCTGGGCATTCATCTTTTGAGAGTCTAAAGCAGCTGCGAGACCGCGGCGTGCGTCATTGCGCAGCGACGCATGCAGCCCACAGTGGATAATGGGAATCTGCTGACAACCAGTTGTTTGTCCGGTCATGTGTGCGCGCGGACCGGCGGGTACTCTCTTTTGAAGATAAACCTGGATGGAAGTCTCGATCACAGCAGCAGCGGTCTGACGGAGAACTCGTAACGGCACCGGACTCTGTCTTTCCCGGGATGCGCCGACGTATGTGACAGGCTCTCGGCGATCTGCGGTTCCAGGTAAAAGTTCGCGTTTAAACTTTATCACTGTGGGGGATTTTTTTGCTTTTTAGTAAACGTTGTGGCAGATGTTGTTGTTTGCTGCGCCTGGAATGAGGACGCACGTTATGTTTCCGTGCGCTTTTTTTCACCATGCGCCTCTGAATGGAGCGTGTTATCTAATGCAAGCTGGATGTTGCAACTTTGAAGTGTGGACTCATATTTTATTTTTTATTAAAGTCCGACAATCGGTGCAAGTCTTGATACAGTAATCAACCATTTCTGGCATCCCTTACGTGCATGGACTGTGCGTTCGTGCGTGTGTGCGCATCTCCTAAATTCTGCTGCTTTGAATTAATTGCGCCTGTGGAGGCTGCTGGAGCACGGGTGCGCGGATGATGTCCTTTCTTCATGTGCACGGGGTTAAGGAGGTTAACAAGTTTTTGCTTAATCATGCAAACTGCTTAAATCGTTGATAGATTTCCCCGTCAGGACCATTTTCTTTAGACATTTTAAAACGTAGGAGCGTTGATGCCTCCAAACTGAGGTCAAGCTAATAAAGCAAGCTGCAACCTTTAATTGAGCACAGAGGCGGTTTTTACTGTGATGGTTCTCAAAGTGACAAGAAGGTGAAGGTCAGGCATGAATTTAATAGTGACCCTCAGGGTGATGTGCAGCTCATAGGAAGTGGCTGTTAGTGGGATGTTTTAATTTTAACCACTACAGTCTGTGGACATTTACAAGCTGGTCTAACACTGTGTGTTTCATGGACTACTTCTTATCAGAGGTTATGCCTCCTTTTATATGTGTTATGTAACTATACTTCTGTTGAGAGAAATGAAATGTTTCAGCCCTAACATCCAGAATATTGACATTAACTTTAATTTCCCTCACTTTCTTGATATAAATCTGTAAATACTTAATTATGGTAATTTGTACAGGCAAGAAAAACAAAGTAAAAACAGTTGTTAGAACATAAACATTTAGAATTATCCTTTAGTAAACTCACAACTGTGCTTTTCAAGGCAACTTTAAGTGTAGAGCCAGCATAGATTTGTCAAAAAATCCTCAACCACCTGCACAACAAATATTGTATGTATATTATACAGTGCCAGTGTAGTTTAGTCTACGTACTATAGCGAGGAAATATGTTCTCTTAAAGTTCCTACCAGATCCTAGGTGCTCTATTCAGACGAATGATGCAACTACTCCTGTTGAATTGAAATGTATCATTTCATCTATGATTTTATGGGCATAGCAGTGATTAATCCTATAGCTAAAGAGGTAGTAATGTCCATTTCCTCTGAAAAATGGAGAGAAGCACTTTGGAAGCTTGAAAGAGGACTTTTCAATTAAGGGGTTTAATTGTGCTTTAGTGAGTTCTCCAATATTTCCAAATCCCTTATTTGTCTTTGTCTTTCCCTTGTGTCACTGTTGGTTCTCTTTCTATTTTAATTATGTATTATCGCATATGACACTTAGGAAAGTATGCATGCTGTGTTTGGAAATTATGCCCCCCCCCAATATACTTTGACATTGCCTTTTTTTTCACACGTCTGCTTGTGTTATTTGAAAAAGCAAGAAAAATAAATGTTAAATTGTAAGAATCCGGAAAACTTTGAACGGACCCCCTGGCAGTGCCAAAGGGTTTGTGGACACCCATTTGAGAACCATTGGCCTTTATGATTGACATCCAATATCTTGCCCAAAGACACTTTGACAGGCAGTCTGGAGATGCCATGGGATCAAAATATACCCACCTTCTGCTTAGTGGGCGACTCGCTCTCCCCCCTGAGTCACAGCTGCCCCCGTCAAGTCAACAGACAAAAGCTCCCAGCAATGCTGCGGTTCTGCTGTGATTTAAAAACGGTAATTAAAATCACGCTAATGCTCGGCGAAGCCTTATGGTGTGTTTGCCCGAGTCCGCCTCTAATTTCTCAAACTATATTTACCTCAGTGATAATGCCTGTAATCAGTGGAATAAGCACAGATTGTTAGGCTTGCTTAATTTGTGCAGATTTCTCTTTTTTGTTGTTCACTCGTTGTGTATAAACTGCCAGCTGCTTTTCAGATGCAGCTCCCACAGTGCAGGCCAGCCCTCACAAGAAGGCACAGGGAGGGAGGATGAGATTTACATAAGTAGAGTTGAGTAGAGATAATTGAAAGCCTCTATGTTATCATCAAAACACCAGAGCTGTGAGTGGTATTTTATTTCTCGCTCAAATGGACAACATGAAAAAAAAAGAAGCTACAGTCTTGAAGAGGAGATTGAAGTACTCGAGTGGGTGTGTTATTGGACGTGTGGTGCTATTGTCTTGGTTTTCAGTTCAGCTCTGTCCATATTGATTTCCCCCCCCTCCGCTTTCTGTGCTCTGGCAAGGTAAATGGAAGCGTTGCCCTGTGTCAGTGCAACAGGAGGCTGTAATTAATCTCAGCAGTTTGTGTCAGATTTTCTAGAGCGTACCTTTTATACCAGGTGCAGAACTTACGACCCCATGCAATGATATTTTTTTTATCTTTAGTTAAAAACAACAATATATCAGGTTTGTGCGTAGACCAGGTGTGTCCTAGCAACAGCTGTGTCCATTTCTGGCTCGTTTCTAGTGGGACCTTGCTTTGACTAATGGGACCTTGCCTTGACACAGTGTCATGTGTCATCAGTAATATAATCTGATGGCTCAAGCCCTCCTGGTATTGTCTCCTCTCGAGCCATCACAATGTCCAGATGCATCTTCAGATCAACTGGTTTCCTTCAGGCTTTACGTTTCAAGGATTAGATGTGATAGAAATGTGGACAAAGCCTAGAGGTCTGGTGCTATCGGACCATGGAAGCTTTCAAGAAGTCACATACGTTATGTCTCATGGGATATTTAGGACAGGAGTCCAATGCATTAAAATGCCTCAAATTGAATCCATACTCGTCCACTGACTTCAATGTGCAAGATAAAAATTCTAAACAAGATACAGACCAAGTGGTATATAATGCATATCTTACAGCCTGCAGTGAAAAATATAAGGCACTATATTCCACATTCTGCCCTAACATCCAGCAAATCATTGCCATAAACTTTAATCCTTCTGCCCTTTTGGATAGACATGTGTAAAGACGTAGCTGTGGTCACTATAAAAAAGAAGAAATACTTAAAACTTTTGTTAGAGCATAAACATCATCATCAGTAAACTCACTCTTGATCTTCTTCAAGGCCTTTTCTAATGTAGAGCCTGTATAAATTGCCAGTCTGTCAAAATCCTTAATCACCCTGCCAATTTGATGACTATCACTATTGAAACCTTTTTTCCCTTGACAACAAAATCTATATAATACAGTGCCCATGTATTTAATATACATACTATAGTGAGGAAGTATGTGCTCTGAAAGATAGTACTGTCGGTGCTCTATCAAGACTAATTATATCACTACTCCTCTAAATCAAACATCTTATTTCATCCATGATTTTATAGGTATAACAGTAATTAATCCCGGCTAAAGAGGTAGTGTTAATTTCCTCTGAGAATAATAGAGAGAAGCACTTAACAATTAATGGGTTTATTAATGCTTCAGTGAGTTCTCCAATATTTTCAAATCCCTTATTTTTTGTAGCTTTCCTTAATTATGTCACTGTTGTTGCTTCTTGTATTTTATGTGATCCTAGTGTTATAAAAAAATGTGTGTGTGTGTGTATTTATGTTTGTTTTACTTTGTTATCATTACTCTATTTCCCTCTTACCTAACACGGCACGCTTTACCATAGTGGGACTATCTTATCTTATCTTTTACCCACAATCAAGTCACAGTCTATATTTATGACTTATTCATCTCTTCTGACTTCTCTTCACCCTGTGATCACTGGGAGCCAGTGCATCTTCCCCAAAGTATGTTTGAGCAGCAAAATTTCTAGCTCGTCCCAATGATAATGCAGAGTGATGGACACTAGAGACCTGTCTGGGATGATGAGAAATAGAAGTCACTCACAGGCTCAATTGAAGCTTCTAAACCCGCAGATGAAATAAGGGGGTGAGGGGAGGACTTCGCTTAGATGAAATCCGTAGGGTCCTTAATGTTTCTTAGAGACGTCGCCACAGTGCGCTTGAAAGAGAAAGTGAGGGTGTCTGTCGGGTGGTGAGCTGAGGAGTACACAGAGTTAAATCACTGTTATATAATAGAAAATGTTTTTTGACTTTGGCAAAAACCTTTACAACCCTGCAACGACAGCATCACTAAGAGACTTTGATAACAAAGACGAATCTGTTGAGACACAGTGAAATGACCCATCACTCTTACATTCATAATTCTCTTTTCTCCACTCTATTTCAGTTCTAGTGTATTTGCGGACTCTAAAGTAAAGTAAAACTAAAAGGACCTGGGCTGCAGACCGAGCACGAATGCTTTACTTACCATTCACATTTATTCTTGATTATATCATTCCTATAAACGCAGATAAGCACTTTTGTCTTTGCATGTTCTCTCCTTTTTCTTCTTCTGTCCTCTCAGTACATAGTTGTAATGTATTGTTTGTACAATAGATTGTATATTAAGATGGTATTTGTTTCGCAAAATAATGCAAAAATATCCCATGAAATCATTTGGAAGCTGAGTCTGAGCAGTAGGGTCTGTGATTGGAGCTGCTACTTCAAGGTCCTGCCGATACACGTGGTTGACCAACCACCACTCATTCTTATCATTGCATTTCCCACGATTTTATCGCATAAAATAACAAATTAAAACCCAACTTTACTGGAAAAATGGAGAACTTGGAGAATGTGATAAGAACTACCGAAAGTGCAGTAACCATCCCTGGGGGAAAATATGTTTAATTTACATTTGTCTATGTCCTATTCACTAACATGGAAGAGAAAGGGCTTATGATCTATACTGCAACAAGCCACAAGGGGGCGATCAGGATTGGTGGGCTTCACTTTTTGGGGGCTATTATAAAGTCTATGGTCTCTACACCATGACGCTTTATAAGTGCCCAGGTCACTTAGATTATAAGGACGTGACAGCAGACAGTATCTTGTCA